TTCAATTAGATAAACCACTATTCCTAGAAAATATTCCAGCAAAAGCAAATGAAACCAACTACCGCACTTCATAAGGAGTTATCATATAAATTTTATGGCTACTAGCCTAAAACCATTGTGACATAAATGTTTAATTTACTATTCAGATTATAAGAGGGACAATATAACCAAACCAAATTTATTTTACTAAAGTGTGTCTTGAGACTTTTATGCTAGAGAATAAAAAAAAAAAAACAAAAAAAAAACAAAAAAAAAAAGGAAATAAAGAAAAAAAAAATGTTACCTAGATATTTTCTTTTGAATCTATCTTTTAGTGAAATCCAATCTACATCCACAGATACTTCTTTTCTTTTATTATTCTTAAGTTAAAACCTTGTGAGTAAAAAGGTGGCAGTCAAGAAGGGCAGCAATCAAGACGGGCTGCGGTCAAACTTTTTATAATTATTGGGCTAAAAATATCTATTAATATACTTTGCAAACATACCACTATGTTTCTTTGGATCACTGGTTCTATTACAGTATAAAAAAGGCCTAATTTTTTTTACATCTTAATAAATTTGGTCTTCTTAAGCAGGACTTAGCTCTAAGATTATTATATCCCTAATGGCTTATTGACCAAATTTCATTTTGGTAAGTGAAATTATGCTTTTTCTTATTTTAGAAAAATACACCTTTTTCAATTTTTTTTTTCTTGTTCACCTTGTTCATTTACACCAACACTCCAATTCGCAACAAAGATAAAATAACACTTGCATAATGGAAATATCAGAAGGATCTTTTAAAGAGCCAAATGAAAAAAAACCAAAGAGAAAAAGTCTTATTGGTGCCCAGAAAGCTGAAATATGCCATCTAAGACAAAAAGGAGTAAGTCAAGTTAAATTAGCAGAAAAATTTAAAGTTGCCAAAGCAACTATTTCAGGTATTGTACATGTAAAAAAGAGGTGGTTATCGCTTAATTTAAGTCAGAATAATGCTTCTCTAAAATGACAAAGAACTAGAAAGTTTTCTCTGCTAGAGGAGGCACTAGCCCTTTGGGTGTCACAAGCAAATACAGCACTACAGATAGTCACAGGTGTAATAATCCAACATAAAGCAACACAACTCACAGAAAGGCTTGAAGTGATAGATTTCACTACCTCTAATAGGTGGCTCTCAAATTTCAAAAAACGGTATTAT